CTTTAGTTTGATGCCCTATACATATCTTATATTCGATCGAAAGCCTATGAAAATAGATTTTTAAATCTCTTAAACAAAATTACTTTTAGGTGCAAAAATCGTTTATTTCGACTTACCGCTTAAGTAAAACTTTTTAACGTCCGACACTTCCTTAGCATTGTAGGCTACTGTCACTTTACAAGAGTATGTGGCTATTTTTTTTACCTCGTAGTTACCTTTTTCATAAATTGACGGGGGGCCAACTTACCCCGGGGTCCAACTAGCCCCGGTCTCCCCTACTGGTGCATTTGTACCTGTACTTGGACATAATATTGCAATTTTGTCCATGCCCTGTACAATATGAGAGCTTGACAACTTAAAGCCTGTCATTTAGCTAATAGAGCCCATAGAACTATGTAGAGCCGTAAATACGGACTCTTCACGTCCGACGCAGACGATAAATGAAGTAAACAGCAGGAGGTGAACTTGTGAAGGACTTGTGAAATTGTAAATTGTGCTACTACATTGTACCCATATACAAGTAGGCTGTATCGGTAGGTTAACTGACCGATGTGAAAAGGACCATAGCAGATAAGGCCATTTGCAGATCATCTGTATCAAAACACTGGGACCGGTCCCAACAAACCACGTTTTTTTTTTTTTTTTTTTTTTTTTTTTTTTTTTTTTTTTTTGCCATAAATAACATAATTGTCTTAAATTCATACACGTATCACTGTTTATCGTATGATGACTGGGATGACAAAGATATTTACCTATTGTCGCAAGGGGTCCACCTACTTGTACACGTAGGTCATGATCCTGGGCGAAAGTAGCGTTAAACACACCCCAGCTCATGTTAAATCCACTAGAGGCCATAAAAAATAAGACTGAAATAAATATAAAATTCCATCCGTAATACATTGTAGATGTGTTTTAGAACCCGATTACAGATGCCGTTTTTACATTTAATTTGTTACAAGATCGCATGGCAGACTTGCGTATAGGTGATCGTCGACAATCAAACGGCAGGTCAATGCATTATATAGTCCATTCTATAGTGCGATAAAGAATGAATGTGGCATACACTGTACTCAGAACATTTAAACCACGGCTAGCGCGTAGAACAAAAGACTCGGTCGTGCTATATTCGACATACAAGCACGTCATGTACGAATGCGTTCCACAGTCTGTTGCACTCCCGTTACCAGCTAATAAGTGCCCAGTATCTGTATAACGGGTCCTAGTGCCCACCACGGATCAGACAACAATGAAAACCAGTCGTTTCTCAAACTTTTTATATCAAACTATATTATTATTATTTACAGAATGTGAAAAAGAAATTTTAAAAATCTCTTCCAAAGTAAATTTCCTGCCTTCTTTGGCGATGACAATTTTTTTAATCGGAAAAGACACAGTGGCGGGTCCAGGATTATTTGAAGGGGGGGGGGGGGGGGGGGGGGGAGAAACACCGGGGGGGGGCGTTGGGGGGGGGGGGGGGGGGG